CGGGGGTGGAGCTGGGGGCTCGGGGGTGGACCCGGGGGCGGGAGGCTGGCCCGGGACGGCGCTAAATTGGCTGGAGGGGCCCGTCGGCGGCGAAGTTGCTAGCTGGGGGCAGAGACGGCCACGCGGTTGCAGGAGTAAGAGATCCCCCTGTGGCGAGTGCGTGAGACGAGGAGTCCGGCGTCCCTGCCATCCCCGTCGCCCTCCCCGCCTGCCCGGCCCCGCTAGCTCCTCTCCTGGCCTCCGCGTGTCCCCTCGCTCTCACCCCCGCCGCTCCCCGGTTGGCTCCCGCGGCACTGCCGGGTCCCCTCGGCCCTCGCCGTGACCCTCCCGGCCTCCGGCTTCCCCTGACCCTTGCTTGCTTCGCCATTGCCCCTGTTCCCTTTTCTGCCCTCGCTAGTCACCCCGCCCCGCTTCGTAATTCCCGATGCAATTGCCTCTTTGAGACCTTTTTTTTTTTTTTTTCCTCTCCTTCCTTTTAGATTGGCCAACGGCTCCTTTCAACCCTGCCTCGTTGGTGGCCACTGGAGAAGCGCGGGGGGCTCCCCAGACAGCCGTGGGGACAAGTTAGAGCCAGCACTTGACCCCGGGCCTCGCGTGTAGCTTCCCTTCCCCTGCTCTAGGTGCCCCGGTGTCTGGAGGGGGGTGCGGGTGCGGGGGTGTGCCCTCCGGTACCGGTCCCAGCACCCGGGCAACCCTCTGGGCTTGTGTTCCATCTCACTCTTGCATCCTGCACGGTGGTCGAGGGGAACCACTTGGCATCATGTCCCGGTATAGCTACCAAAGTCTCCTGGACTGGCTCTATGGGGGCGTGGACCCCAGCTTTGCAGGCAATGGGGGCCCCGACTGTGCTGCCTTCCTCTCTTGGCAGCAGCGGCTGCTGGAAAGTGTGGTGGTCCTGACCCTGGCCCTGTTGGAGATCCTGGTGGCCCTGCGGCACATCCTGAGGCAGACGAAGGAGGACGGTAGGGGTGGCCGTGGCTGCCAGCCAGAGCAGGTGACCCAGCGGCCAGAGGAAGGCAAGGAGAGCCTGAGCAAGAATCTGCTCTTAGTAGCCCTGTGCCTGACCTTCGGGGTGGAGGTGGGCTTTAAGTTCGCCACCAAGACCGTCATCTACCTGCTCAACCCTTGTCACCTGGTCACCATGATGCATGTGAGTGTGTTGACTTTTTCCCTGGCAGCCCTAGTGATAAGAGTCCTTTGTGTGCTCAGGACACTCGGAAGTGTAGAGCACTTCATCTTGCGGGAAGCGGGACCCTTAAAAATGATTTTCCAAGAGTGGCTGTTTTTGTGCGGGTTCCACATTTGGCTTTCTTTCACCTTTGCACAATGCGTCAGCCCCACAGTGGAGGTGAGGGATGTAGTGACAGAGCCCTGGGAACCACTGGCACTCTGGTAGGCTGTCCCTCCCCTCCCAGCCCTACCCTGGGCTTTCACAAGCAGGACGTCTAGCCCCAGCCAGGTGTCCTTTCTGAATCACATCTGGGGACCATGGCCTGCCCCCATCCCCTCTGCGGCAGTGAATTTCCCAGAGGTCTGACGACACCCTTTCCTGGAGGTGGTCAGATAAGGTTCCTTGTCTCCACTGTGGTACTTTGGGGATATACTTCTATGGGTTTCTCTTCATGACTCTTTTTTCATTGGGGAGTTTCATGCTCTTAAGGCGAGGTCTGCCTTTCAGTTCTGAGGTGTGCATTGGAGCAGCACCAAGCTCCTACTAAGCGCCCTCTGAAACAGGCCCCAGGCCGACTCCTGAACTTCCGGGCTGGTGCTCTCTATCCACGGTGAGAGCGTATTTATTTTTTGCAAACCTCTCCATCTTATCACTCTTCTTCTGTTTCCTGTGGTCGTGGTCCAGGGTGCTCAGAGAGCTGATTTCTTTACCTCCCATTAGCGGTGCTAAGAAAAACAAATGGGATTGAAAAGGAGAGTTGCCAGATACATAAAAATAATCTGGGTGAGGCCCAAGAGTGAGAGTCTTTCTGTACTCAGCCTTTGTGGAGAGATGTTCTAAAACTATAAAATCACGGAGGAGGAGGAAGAGGAGAGAAGGGAAAAAAAATCTTTATTTTAGATTTCGGGCTGTGAAAAACCTGGTGTGTTTTATTCAGGGACAGTTTTGAAACCTGTCATTAGCATCTTTATTGCTTTTATATTTGTAGAAGGTTGTTCTCCGGAGACTTGTGACAACCCTGTGTGGGGCAGGAGGTTGAGATTATTATCTTGGTTTTACAGGCCTGGTGGGGCCCAGGGACCAGGGATGGGAGGTTGCTTGCCCACAGCCAAAAGACGAATTAGCGTCTGGGTTGGAAAAGTCGCCTACCCTCCTTGGGGTTGCAAGCTGTCAGTGGTGACTGGGAGGTCTCAGGGGGAGGCCTGGGCTGATCATGGCGCCGCCTCCTTGTGGCTCCGAGGCTCTGGAGTGCCTAGCGCTTGCTCCTTCTGTGTTCTAGGCCCTCCTTCGATTGCAGGTTCCTGGCCTCAGTTTCCCAATCTGTAAAATGTGGCGAATGGCCTCCAGCCCCTTCCTGTCTTTGCAGAGGTGGCAAGGGGGGTGTGGATAGCTGTGTGGCTGTCAGCATCCAGTGGGGCTGGAGGGCGGCCTTTTTTTTTTTTTTTTTTTTTTAAGACAGGGCTTCTTGGGATGTAATGCCGTACACAGGAAGCCCAGGGCTCTCCTAGCTAGCCCTTCTGTGTAAATTTGAGCCCAGTCCTCTTTCTTTCTTTTTTTAATGAATGGGCTTTTTGTTAATGAGAGGAAACAACGCATCTCAGCCGCTGCTGTGGGAGGTTCTTGGGACAGGAGTGCTTTTTTTGGATGGCAGGTGGTGAGGGTCAGAGGGTGCCTCTCCTACAAAGGGGTCTTGAGGCCTCTGGCAGCCACATATCTAGAAGGTCAACAAAGGACCAAATTTAGCCTGACTGGGGCTGCAACTGGTGTGATGACATCAAACCTGGCAGCACTGTGGTGTTGAGTGGAAGGGTTTTTAGAAGCTTTTAGAAGACTGTAGAGACTTTGTTCTGACATTATTCAGTTGTGTGACTTTGAGGAAAAATAACTTCTTGGGCCTCAGTTTACCCATCTGCCAAATGACACAGAGCTGCATGCCTAGCTCTGGACACTCAGCGTTCTGTGATTCTCTTCTCCTCAAGTAGTGGCCAGGGATGCAACAGAGTGCTATTCTAGAAATGCTTTTTGGCTTCCTTGTGTGGAAAAAGGAACCTCATTTCTTCTTTGCTGAGGTCAGATGGCCTTGTTCGTCTTCGGCTTCCTGTATGTTCCCAGTAAAGTCAACCTGACCTGGCCACCCTTGGGCACATGCGTAGATGATGATGGCACTTGGGGCTGGTTGCTGCGGAGGGATGCATGCTTGGGTGGGGGCGGGGAACTGTGGACTGATTCCTGTCTGTCACCTATGCTTTTTATTGTCCTGTGCTTAGCTTAGACTCAAGCTGTAGGACAGGGGGCAAGAGAACAGAGTCATGCTGAGGAATTCTTGACTCTGACCAGGATTGTTCTCCTATGCTCTTTACTCCTATCCCTGCTTTGTGTCATTTAAATTAGTAGCCTCAGGCCTGCTGTGGGACCCAGCCTTTGGTCAGTCCCACATCCCATACCCTACCTATGGCTCTTTCTGGGAAGCAGGAAAGTATGGATTTTTCAGTTAGTGGGAGTCCTTAGAAAACTCCACAACAGATGGTTGGAAACCGTTTTCTGACTTGAGTGCAGCAAGGGCTAATGATAGCCAGTGTGGTTAATAATACCTTACACTTACCTGGCACTTTACTGCTTATAAGGCACTTTCACGTGCATTATCTTATTTAGGCTTATGATAGGTTAGCGTGGGCCTGGAAAAAGATGTTAAAACGTTTCCTGTGACTGTATATTCCAAAGGGGAGATGTTGAGTACAGAGAAATGCTTTGGCAAGTGAACATTCTGTGGAGTTCAGAGGTCCCGAAAAGGAAAGGGACACATTGACTGAAATGAAAGGGACAGCTTAGCAGAAAATATTTCTGGTGTGTTTCTCCCCACAGGATGACTCAATTTTGGCTTCATAGAAAGGCCTTGTTCCTCTGAGTCCATGTAAGTTTATAACAAGGACAGTATTGCTTTAGGCCAGGAAGTGGAAGAGTTGGAGGGAAATTGGTTAGCTTCCCCATTTCCCATTTTTCAGTCTGTAAAATATTTATTCCCAAGGCCTTTTTAAACAACCCCTCATCATAGCCATGCTGCTCTTGGGTGGCTGCCAGCATTAGAAGCATAACGAAGGGCAGTTCTTGTGTCTGAGCTCTGTTCTTGATTAATATTCCTGCTGTCCGGTTTCTTTTTGGTCTCCTCTGATTTCTCAGAGGCCCTGGGACCGTGGGTGATCATGGTTTGTGTGACTGAAGCACAACCATCTCCCATATCCCTTCAGCCGGAGTGCGAGAGGGTTGTCAGGATTCATAAGCCCCAAGACTCACGCGCCATTGATAAGCCTTGGTGAAGATCTGTGGTGTCTGCCAATAAGTATTTCTTCGAGCATGGCTAGTCCCTTCATGCATGTTATTCTTGCAGGTATGGGTGACAGGCAGTGAATTTACTCAGCGATTATGCTATGTACCAAAAATCACCCGGCAAGTTCACGGCAGAGGTAGCTTTAAGACTGAGCCGCTGCGGTGGGAATTGAGGCTTAAGGAGAAAGAGATTCTCGTAGCTGTTTACATCCTAAAGTCTGCAGTTTCTCAGCAGAAGGGTTAAAATGCTCGCCAGTTGGACCAGTTCTGTCTGTACAGACTGGTGTTCTTAAATTAGTGGCCCTTCATCTCCCTTGCGTGCGGTTATATTGTCTGTGTCTTAGGTACGTAACAAAAAGACCCCATTTTGGATGGCTTTTCTAATTGTCCAGTTCCTGTCGGTTCTGGACGTGTCTGTGTCCAGCATCTGATTGGGCAATGAACTCAGTGGGGTACAACATATGGCTATGCACATAAGGCAGGCTGGATCCGGGCTGGACATTTGCCAAATTAATAATCGATGCCATAGACCCCAGAGTCCCACGCCAATGTTTTTTTTCTTTTTTAATGTTTATTTTTGAGATGGAGAGCATGAGTGGGGGAGGGGCAGGGAGCAAGAGAAGGAGATGGAATTCCCAAGCAGGTTCTGTGCTGTCAGTGCAGAGCCCTTTGTGGGCCTCAAACCCCACGAGTCGTGAGATCATGACCTGAGCCCAAAACAAGATTTTTGTCCCTTTTGCTTAACTGACTGAGCTACCTGGGTGCCGCCAAGCCAGTGGTTTTTGGCCAGTAGTTTTTTCTTAACGTTTATTTATTTTTGAGAGAGAGAGAGAGAGAGAGAGAGCACGCGCGGGCAAGCGGGGGTGGGGACAGAGGATCTGAAGCAGGCTCCTGCTAACAGCAGCAGGACGATGCGGGGCTCAAACTCACGAACCATGAGATCATGACCTGAACTGAAGTTGGATGCTCAACTGACTGAGCCACCCAGGTGCCCCTTAGCCAGTAGCTCTGACTGAGTCCCATCCTTTTTTAGGGTTAACATTGCTATTGATTCCCTGTCTTTATACTATATTAGAAATCTCATTTCCACCAAATCCGGCTTGCCTGCTTTTGCTTCACTGTTTGATTTTCCTACTTCCTCGCCGCAAATGTAAGAATGGCACATCTTCAAAACATTCCTGAGCTTTTTCTGACACCTTTTGGAACTAACTGAATAAACAGTGGTGTGTTCCGTTCACCCTGTGATGGATTTGCTTTAGAGAAAACCTGATGGATTTGAGAAGTAGGCTTTTTAGCCCCCCCTCCTCCCACCTCCTTGACTTCAGACCAGCCACACCTCCTCATCCCCATCTGGTGTCTGGAGTACTGATAACTGCCCCTCCTTGGAATTGACGTTGGTGGGTAATGGGTACAATGAGGGATCCAGCCATCTGCTGACAGCTTATCAGATGGACTGGGTCCTGTGTCATCAGTCCAGGGGGACACAAGAGGATGATGTTTATATGGGCCTCAGCAGTGAGGCATGACATTCCTTTTTAGTTTGTTTTATTTTTTTCCCCCGAGGAAATTTGCAGAGAATTTTTCCATCTTCCATTGTTATCGTCTTTTGGGGGTGTCCATTATTAAGAGAAGTCGTGTGTGGATTGTTGTGTCCC